TAGTAAGTTAAGTAGAGAGAGAGAGAGAGGGGTGTGTGTGTGTGTGTGTGTGTGTGTAGAGGGGTAGGTGGGTCTGGGTTTGAATGTGTTTACACTCAGGTATATAGGAGAAGTGTGTGTGGATGGGGGTATGGAGGTGTATCAAATAGAACGTTTTGCACCAGTGATGTCACTACACGATGCAAACCCCACAGCGGCTGTAACTGGCCTCCCGTTTAGCCTTCAGAGACAAACAGAACCGATGTTGTTACTGGAGTGTTCTCCGTTTTCATGAGTCCTTGGACTTCAAGTTCTAGCTGACCTGTCCTCACAGGTCCGCCAGAGCAAGAGAAACAACACAAGAACACCTGGGAGATGTTCAGGCCAGGCTGAGCCTCGCGCTTCAGATAACCCTCATGCTCCAGGGCCTTTGATGCCTGCCCATAAAGAATACCCTTGATCTTGTGTCTAACACCCCGCGAGCTTTTGCAGCCACAAGGGGCCATTTGAGAGGAAGGGGGGGAAACACAAGGGATCTTGCGAGCCCCACCCTCAGCCACATAGAGTCCCTAACTCTCACACCACAGAAATGCAAAGGCACAAACTTTGTACATCATTTATCTCAACCAGAATAAACAGCTTCATGGGAATTAATGGCCACAGCCAAACCGTACAATTTTGAATTCAACCACAAACCAAATAGAAAGATTTTCGTCGTCGTTGTTGCTTTGTTCTCCCCCCCCCGCCCGCCCACAGAATCTTACAGAGAAGCAAAGATCAGAAATACCGTCCTCGGGGTTGGTTTGTGTTTTTAAATGGCAGAACAAAGGCTACGATTTGGCGCTGTCCATGCTCTGGGATCGGTGCATTCCAGCTGCAGACGGGGAGGGGAGTGAGCGGATAGGTTCCAGAGATGCATACAGATCACGCACGGTCATTAAATAAACTCTTCTATACAATGTACAAGAAAATAAACAGTCTCTTCATGGCTCAGTGGAACATTTCCAGAGCGCCAGGTGTCTAACACCCGGGTCTCAGCCAGCATCGTCCAAACGCCCTCGTCTCCCAATGCCTACAAATGTAGCAAGGGAAAGGGGGAACCTAAGAGCCACCTGCACCTGTGAAATTCACCAGTCTCCTGCCAACTCAGAGGGTGCTATGGAAGTAGAATTGATCTGAAAGCTCCCTGGCAGGGCTGGGACTGGCAGGGGGCTGGGTGATTCCACTTGTCTATCCCCACCCCACCCCACGCTCCCCACCCCTCCAGTGTCTTGTGTGTACAGACTCATCCCCAGCAGCACATTCCATGGGACACAGGAAGACAGCGAGTTTCCCACAAGCATGCCCTGTAAAGGGGAGGAGCCAGGAGAGTCTCCGCCCTTTTCTCAGAAGACTGACACGACAATATACAAGACACGAGCGATTGCAGGGAGGGGGGCGGAACATCGAGGCTGGAGGAGATATTTAAAGCCGGGCCTTCTGGAGCAGATTCCTCTCCCATCTCCACCAGCAGCGTGTCTTTCTCTCTCTCTCTCACTCACTCCAGAGTGAGCTTCACCAGGTTGCCTTGGACCTTAGCCTGGTCCACAGCGTCCAGCAGGTTCTTGGCATCCACGGCCAGGGTGTGGGAGGCCGTCAGCATCTGGCGCTTGCACTCCTCGCTCAGCGAGGTGACGGCGTTCTGCTGCGCCAGGCGCATCTTGTTGATCAGCTCGGCCAGGTCCTTGTTCAACAGTTTCTGGGTGCCCTCGATCTGCCAACGCAAAACACACACATGTGGCTGGGAGCATTAGAGGCAGCAGCGGAAGAAGAGCATGAAGGACAGTCCCAAAGCTGGAGGCCCTCTGGTGGCTGGATCACATAGGGGATAACAGCCTACCACTGCTGCCAGCTAATGGAGTTACTCAGCTACGTGCACACTCAGGGATGACTGCAGTCGGTGCGGTCAATAGTTCCTTCCAAAACAGCTTCATCCAGGCCAGGGTTTAGGAAGACCCTGTGATGTCATTAGGCAGGAAAGCCTGCGCAAGTCACTCTGAGAGTAAGACAACCACAGGGTCTGTCTATATCCAACAGCCTCAGTCGAGAATCACCTTTATATTCATTACACCCGAGCCCTGTCTCTTCTCTACCCTGCCTTGCCGGGGGAAGATGCATGGGGGCTTTACCACCAAAATGTAAGCGTTCCCTATTGAAGCTGCATCCTTGGATTTATCATTGGTCCTGACCATGATACCAGGCTGAAATCTAATGCCCTCTCCACCAATCAGGCCTTCGGTTTGCAATCCACTCCCCTTGGATAGTGAAATCTGCTAAGAGGGCCCGATTCACTGCTCGCTAATGCTGCTACCGTGTGTGGACAACTCTCCCAATTTTAATCATGAGCCTTGCAATGTTTGATAATTTTCTTAAAGCCCCAGCTCCTCGAGTCATGTGATTGGCCAGGCCTCTCAGCTTTCCTTGACAAAAAATACCGCGTTACCAGCTTTCCTTTTAGAAAAAAGTTGGAAAATGCGCCTCCTTCCGGCTCAGAGAGCAGAAGTCAAATAAAAAGAAAGCCTTTGTGCTGCTGTTGGTCCCATGACTTGGGGCGGCCTGACTCACGATTCTGGCACATTCGGAGTCGGCTATACCTGCCTCCATCCATGTGGGATGAGCTGTCATCTGGCACTTATAAATAGCGACTCAAGGAATTCTCTAATCAACTCTGTATGGCCCCTGGCAAGCCCTCGTGGGTGTCACTGGGGTGCGGTTTCTTTAAGAGCCAGGCCTGTGCTGTCGCCCTGGCTGGTAGACGTAGAGTGCAGGGGACTGACTCCTGCGAGAACAAAGGCCCCTCTGGCAGGGGGGCAGGTAGGGAAGGTGCCTTGTGCTGTGTGAGCTCTGAAAGCATGAACGTCTGCAGACTGGGATCTGCTCCCAGGATGTGCGGGCAGGGAGCTGGGGGTGGGGAGAGACCAAGTGCTGGGATCATCCATTACCCCAAAGGCGGGGGGTGTCCCACCTGACGGCTCTCCCCGGCAGTAGGGGGTGCAGGAGCCCTTACCTCTGTGCGCGATGAAATGGGCAGAGCTGGCAGGATCTCGTCCACGCTGCCGATCAGCTTCCGAAGGGACAGGCCCACGTTCTGTGAAGGGGGAAAGGCAGCGTGAAAGGTGTCTCCGGCTTCGGCAAAAGGCTTTGTTCTTAGTAACAACCTGGGCCTGTCTTGGCTTGGGAGGGCCGCTGCAGAGAGATGCACTCTGGGAAATGTCCCCCGCTCTTGGGTCAAGGCCACCACTGGGGAGACGTGCATCTTGGGAAATGTTCCCGCTCTGGTGTCAAAGCCACCACCGGGAAGAGGTTCATCTTGGGAAATGTTCCCCACTCTTGGGTTAAGGCCACCACTGGGGAGAGGTGCAACCTGGGAAAATGTTCCTGCTCTGGGGTCAAGGCTACCACTGGGGAGAGGTGCACCTTGGGAAATGTCCCCCACACTTGGGTCAAGGCCACCACTGGGGAGAGGTGCACCTTGGGAAATGTCCCCCACACTTGGGTCAAGGCCACCACCTGGGAGAGGTGCACTTTGGGAAACGTTTCCCCACACTTGGGTCAAGGCCACCACCTGGGAGAGGTGCACTTTGGGAAACGTTCCCCGCTCTTGGGTCAAGGCCACCACCTGGGAGAGGTGCACTTTGGGAAACGTTCCCCGCTCTTGGGTCAAGGCCACCACTGGGGAGAGGTGCATCTTGGGAAATGTTCCCGCTCTGGGGTCAAGGCCACCACTGGGGAGAGGTGCATCTTGGGAAATATGACATGAGCAGAGAAAGGTCTAACATGATCCAACGGCTGGAAGTTGAAACCAGACAGATTCAGACTGGAAACGAGGTGTCAATTTGTACTAATGAGAGTAATTGACCACTGGAGCAGTTCCCCAAGGTTTGTGGTGGATTCTCCGTCACTGGCAATGTTTAACTCAAGACTGGCTGTTTTGCTAAAAGCTCTGCTCTGGGAGTTACTGTGGGGCAGGTCTCTGGCCCGTGTTACACAGCAGATCAGACTAGATGATGACAATGGTCCCTTCTGGCTTTAGGAGCGCTGACTCTAGGATCTGTCTTAGTCCTTGCCAGTCTTCCCAGGAGGCAGCCTTGGGTGCCTTCCTCCTCCCCTGGGGGCTTTACCTTCACCACAATGATGTACCCCTCTGGGGGCAGCTGGCAGATCTCGTTCTTGAGCTGCAGTACCGCCTTCACCAGCTCCATGACGTTACTGTACACCGTGTCGTCCGTCCGGTCCAGGTTGGCGGTGGGGGCCGGCTGGATCGGCTGCCCAGAGACCAGGAGAGGACATATGATCTGCTTGCCCGCCAGGCCGGCTCACCAAAGGCTTCAGAAGGAAGCCCCGAGGAGAAAGGACAGCAGCCGCGCATGACGCAGGCCTTCTGTGCCCCCGGGGTGGACTCCCCACCTAGCGGCCAGGCAGCTGTTAGCATCATGGTGCGTGCAGACCCACCAACAGCTGGGCGGAGGGTCAGTGTTCCCATTGCCAAAGCCAGGCATGGGGGCGTAGCATCGGACTGCTAATCGCTGCTTCCCACTCCAGGCTCAGGTACATACTAAAAGGGACACTGGGCACAGTGCAGTGACCACGGACCATCCTTCCCTCCCTCCCTCTCTCCCTCCCGGGGGCCCGGACTAGCTAGGGCCAAGTGGGGGGCTGGGGCTGGTTTCGAAGTGGAAGAGAAGGGACAGATGCAGGCCGGGAGGGAGAAACCCAGCCAGGTTCGTTTTCACACATACCTGAGCTCCATGCCTTGGAGGCTTCTGGGGTGGGCCCGTAAACTCGGCTGAACCGTGCGTGAAAGAAAAGAAGAATTGTTGTTCTGTTT